CGTTGAAGTTTTTCGAATGACCAGTTTAATTTTTTTTTTTTGGAAAAATATAAGTGTCTTCCGGAGGGATGAGAGGGTGTGTGTGATTCATACCCACAAAAAAACCACACCATGTACCTACAGCGCCATTGCCGGAGTCATGAGGTCTAGCGATTTCGATACGTTCTCTTATGTTGTAAAAGCTTTGATAATAATTCCAAGCGTTGAAGTTTTTCGAATGAACAGTTTAATTTTTTTTTTTGGAAAAATATAAGTGTCTTCCGGAGGGATGAGAGGGTGTGTGTGATTCATACCCACAAAAAAACCACACCATGTACCTACAGTTGCAGGAATCATAAGTTCGCGTTAGCAATCTAATGCTCAGTGTAACTTGTGCATCCTGCTATGTACCATAGAGATATATCATAGAGAGATATATTCTCACGATAATGCCGCATGGTGTTAAGTCCGCAAAATATACTGTACAATATTTTGTATTATGTGTATTAAAAATTAAGTAAATAAATATATCATAGAGAGATAACGGAATGGTGCACCTAAAATATGGTCGAGGGCAGTGATGGCTGGCTCATCCGTCATACTCGTGAACGAGTGCTGCTTGTAGGGACTGGTCTGCTCTTATCACTACGACTGATTTAATCTTATTGTATATTTATATTTGACCCAAATAAATTAGTGCTAGTTGGTGGTTTGTATTCACACGTTTCGACTTGTAAATGTAAACTTACAAGGATTATTTAAAAGAGGAACACACAATTTTCTTGCTCGTTCTTCTTGTGATGAGACAACTTTCCGAACGATCGGTAGATAAAATAAATTGTTATGACTATTCAAAAGTGCTTAAATTAAGTTTATTTGAATAAATGATTTTTTATTCTATTCTCTTCCCGTCTGTGCTAACGGTTTACGCTGGCGGGGCACCAGTAAAGGATGATAAGATAAAAATATGGTCAGATAGCCCATCGTGACAAATCCATCAGGGATTTATCAACATCGATTCCAGCGGGAACTGCGTGGAAGCTAATCTGACATGGTACATTTCTGGTGATCAACAATCCACATTATCATCAATTATCAATCATCTACTCTCCGTTTCATAGGGATTATGTCTTAGGATTGTAACTCAAAACTTAGCAAGTGATACTATAAAATTATTATAATATAAATATGTTATAAACTAACATTCATATGTAATAATAATATAAATTGTCTCTGTGATCACAGCACTGACGACCGCAATCTTACAGCAATTCTAGCCACGTATCATCAGGCTAGCCGTATGTTATACAGAAAGTATCACGTATGAGCTAAAATTAGCTGGCAATTGCAATAAACCGCGCAATACTAATAAAATTCCTTGGCGACAATAAAAATAAAATTTGGAATTTTTATTTCTACAACCATTAACTCTGGCAGACCTCGTGGCAGCTATTAAAGTCTTGTACACATTATATAAACGGGATTTTTGCCATAATAATCTATATGACGGCCTCGGTGGTCTAGTGGTTTAATATACTGCCTTACTTCCGATGGTTGCGGGTTCGATTCTTCGCACGTCACAAATATTTTGTATTTATGAGTATGATTGTTTGTGTCGGTCTGGGTGTTTTCTATGTATAACATGTAGTATGATTGTTTGTGTTTTAATGTTTATTTTATGTTTTTTATTTTATGGTGTTGTATTTTTTTTTTATAATTATTTACTATTCTTATGTGTTATTTGAATTTTGTTTGTACTATCTTTGTTATCGGGATACGAATAAAGATTTTTATCTATCTATCTATCTATCTATCTATCTATCTATCTATGTATTTAGAAAAAAAATTATCTATGTTTGTATCAGTTATCCAGTACTCATAACACAACCTTTAGCTAGCTTAACTTGGGTCTAGATGGCGCTGTGTGAATTGTCCTGAGATTATTATTATTATATTATTATATATGTGGGATTATCACGGGTGAGACTTGAATCCCTCAATTCTGTTTGTAATATTTCAATATCTATTCCACATTGACTCCTCTAATTAGAAAAAAATACGAGCAGAGTTACTTGTCAGTTCTTCTCATCTCGAAATCATTCCGAAGTAGATTTGACATATCACAAGAGTCTGTGATGGACCAACATGAAGAAAGATATTTTGAATTTGCCGAAGGTCTACAAAAAAACGGTGAACGGCGACATTATCACACAACTCCCCGGACCCTCATAAAGAATTAGATTTACGATTATAAAAACATCCAAAACGAACCAACACCGAAACAGATGATTGCGACAAAGATAAAGAAAGAAAGAAAAACATTGACAAACATTATTGATATGAACATACATTTACAGATTTTGACATTGGTACATTTAACATATATATATATATATATATATATATATGTATGTATACACACATACACACAGATATGAAATAATTAAATTTGACGAACTCGGTGGTCTAGTGGTCTAGCACACCGCTGTGGTCGCGATTCGGCACAAACATTTGTATTCATGAGTATGATTGTTTGTATCGGTCTGGGTGTTTTCTATGTATAATATGTATGTATTTACAAAAAAAAATATCTATGTATTTGTTGTTATTATCAGTTATCTAGTACCCATAGCACAAGCTTTAGCTAGCTTAACTTGGGTCTAGATGGCGCTGTGTGAATTGTCCTGAGATTATTATTATTATTATTATTAATTAACGCCGGTGGTACGTATCAATAAGGTTTTACCTTTTTTTTCTTTTTAACAGCATTACTAATTGTATACGATCTTACTAATATTATAATGGCGGTAGTGCTGCTCACCATCAGGTGGGCCGTAAGCTTGTATGTCGTTAAGGTTAAAAATATTGTGCGCTCATAAATAATATTAATAATAATAATAAAACTCTTTATTATACATAAATAAAACAAATAATTACAAAAAAAAGAAAAAAAAGATGGTGTTGCAAACAATAGGCGGTCTTATCGCTTAGAGCAATCTCAAAATTAGTGTTCCCCTAATAGTTAGTAATTTATTCTCTACTAGCTGTTCCCGCGACTTCGTCCGCGTGGAATTTATCTTTATTTTTCTAAAATAAAGGTAGCCTAAGTTACTCCTTATTACATCAGCTACCTGCCAATAAAAGTCCCGTTAAAATCGGTCCAGCCATTTCGGAGATTAGCCGGAACAAACCGACAGACAGACAGACAATAATTGTAAGAAGTGTTATTTTGGTGTATGTACCGTATTTATATTCATATGCGTGTAGTAAAAAACGGTTATTTCAATATTACAAACAGACGCTCCAATTTTATTTATATGTATAGATAGACTGGGCAAGTTAATGCGAGAGTACACTAGCGTAAGTGTACTCTCTCGTATATAACACGCTTGCCTAATGGCTCGGCTCTTAGCTACACAAAGGTGGTATGGGGTGGTATATGGTTATACTAGTAATAATGGTTCACGGCGCATTTGTGTCGGGTGCTAGTTTACTGTTACTACATACAACCTCGGTGGTCTAGTGGTTTAGCACACCGCCTCACTTCTGATGGTCGCGGGTTCGATTCCTCGATAAAATATTAGGATTTTTAAAATCACTAGTTATGGTGATGACTTCGGCCCTGTTGCCGGCCACTGATGGTTCAGGGAGAGACCCCAAGTAGTGCCTTGTGACACGGGTGTAGGTTTAAAGGGCCCTTTTAGAGTGCATTAACACTCACCTTCACTACTTGTGGTCTCCTCCCAGTCCCAACTAATAAACCCCCCAATGCCTACAATATTCACAATTACATATCTCATTTGTTACATAATAATAAACACTCCAACCTTTTCGCTCCAAACTCCCGCTACGTCAGTCCAATACATCAATCTACTTGTCAATGTCACAAGGATTAGGTATTTAGGCACTAGCCTCTGCCGTTTCAAGTCACTCTGGATGCCTTAGATAAAGGAACATGATAGTTAACAGTATCTATTAGTATGGACGAAATGAATGCGTAGCTCAGCAAATGTAATCAAATTCAAATTCAAAAATCATTTATTCATGTAGGACATTTTAGCCGCTTATGAACGTCATATTTTTACATTATAATTTTATTTTTTTCCTACCGTCCAGTTCGGTATATAGATCCAATTGAGAAGAACTGGCAAGAAACTCAATTGAATATTTTATTTTATTTTACTCACTAAACGATTTCTTGAATGACGAGTGTGCATGGCAATAGTTGTTCATGCACTGAATTTTCATTTAATGTTAGACATAGACACCTATATAAAAATACATTGTAAATAAACTGGCATTAAAAAAAAAAAGTAATTCAATTGAGTTTCTTGCCAGTTCTTCTCAATTGGATCTGTATACTGAACTGGACGGTAGGAAAAAAAATTAACATTATAATGTAAAAAATTTGATGTTCATAATCGGCTAATATGTCCTACATGAATAAATTATTTTTGAATTTGAATTTGTTTTATAAACAGTGTACCAATTCAAATGTATGTTTGTTCTGGAAATAAATAAATGTTATAATTAATTTAAATTAATTGTGGTCGAATTACGACCACTGGGCGACCACTATTTATTATTATTATTATTTCATTTTTTTGTAATACTTGTGACTTTTTTTTCGGACTACTCTAATGCTGTTGGCCTTTACAGCTTCACCGGATGATAGGGGGTGAGTGCAGATGGCACTCCAAACGTGCGGTAGGACTTATGGAGCGGCTGAAGGCCAACTCCCATCTGATGGATACGATTTTATTCTGAGGGCATTCGAACTTCGGGTCAGGCCGTCATAATTTCGACTTTTGTCGCGATTGTAATTATTATATAAAAAACATCTATTTAAAATAGCAACACACAAGTTTCTTGCTCATTCTTCTTGTGATGAATCTGCATTCCGAATGAGTGGTAGAATCAAAATATGACTATTCAAAAGTGCTTGTAATGAGTTTATTTGAATAAAGATTATTTCTATTACTATTTCTATTGATCGTGACTCAACTAAGTGTCTTTTTCAGGATAAAGACCTCAGCGCCGATTCGAGGGAGATGGAGTTGACGAAACAGATATCAGACTGTCTCTCAATAATGTTGGACTCTGTTCTGTGCGCCAGTCAGATATGCTTCGAGAACAAGAGGCCTGTCGAGGATGCTGAGGTGATGACCATGCTCAGAGGCAGGGCTCACACGCTCATAAGGTAAGATTTTATATATATATATATCAGTCAGTGGTCAGTTAGTTGTTAGTAAACGCAAATGTTGTTTTGCCATATAAATTAAAATCGCTATTAAAAAATAGGGGTTGATGCTCGAAGGGTGAAAATTTAGAGTTGAGTATTTGTAATATAAAATACGAAAAATTTTAAAAATGTCTAAACAATAAAAAATAAGTTTGTGTGGTGGATTAACCTTAAAACAGTATTTTGAAAAACGCACTGTGGATGACCGCCATTCATCCTGATAATCAGGATGTAATTTTAGTTTCTGGCGGGTTTACATAATGGAAGTTATAAAATAGAAGAGTTTATAAATGATAATATGATAAAAAATTACTTAAAATGCTTAGTGCTGACAATGTTATCTGATTTATTGTTTAATGTTATACGTTTCTATGTTAATTGTCTCATACCCGACGCAAGCATCAATGAAAAATGTTGCATAAACTGTGAAAATTTATATATATATATATATTTGAGGGCTTCCGTTGCGTGCGCTGCGCGAACGAAGTCGCGGGCAGAGCTAGTACAATATTAATACAGAAAGCTATTTCAGAACCGTTCGTAAGAACAGTGGCTGTATCACCACCTTGTTTATTATTCCAGTTAAACAAAAAATCTTAAATATTTCATTCGAGTCGTTCATTGCGGTGCACATTTAAAGTGAATTTCTCATTTATTTACTGTGGTATCGGCAAGGGCTGCGGATACTGTTACACGGGGGTGAGTAGCAGGGTTGTCAACGTCATAATATTTAGCGTTGAACAAAGAAGTAAAACCGTCTTGTACTTTATAGAAGGCTTCATTAGACTAGGGAGTTGTAGCATACTGTCTTACTTCCAATGGTCGCAGATTCGATTCTTCGTGAGATATTTTTTTATTTTATTTATTTATCCATAACAATAATTATTGTGTCGAATTTCAAAGTACAAAATTAAATAATCTAAATCTTAAATAACAATATCAAAATAATAATATATATTAATACCAATAATAATTTCCGAATTGAGCTACAGTAAATGTAAATGTATATTGGACTCCAGTCTCCGCAATTAGCCTCTCATTCGGGCCGTTGTGCGTGCAGAGCCAGACTACTAAAGTAGCCAGCCAAACTCCTCCCAAAAGCGCAGAAGACTCCTGGTGTCTTCGCAGGCTTCACGGAGCGATCTCACCGTTCCGAGGATTTGTTTTCGTTGTTGGGCCACTGCCGTGCACTCCAGGATTACGTGAGCCGCCGTTTCTTCAGCTTCAAAACAGCCCCGACAAAGGGGACTGTCTGTAGCATCAATTTTGTATAAGTGTTTGTTTAAGGAACAATGGCCCGTTATTGTCCCTATCATTATTTTGAGGTTATGTCTATCTAGATGAAGTAGACGTGATGTTAATCGATGGTTCGTTTTTGGAATTGCCACTTTAGATTGTTTGCAATCAGCGGTTAGGTTCCATGAGTTCCATGATTCCATTGAGCTACAGTAACGGTCGATATAAACATTTGTATTTATATGTATGATTGTTTGTATTGGTGTGGGTGTTTTAAATGTATATTAAAGAGAGCTAGAGAGAGAGAGAGAGAGAGAAAGTTTTTTTTTCTTGTAAATAATAATAATAATATTTATTCATGATACACATTTACATTTTAATTTACTGTATTTCTACATTCTACATTAGAAAAGAATAATATTTAAATATTTCTCCCAGTTTTTTAGTACCCATAACACAAGATCGGGTTAGCGTGGGACTAGATGCTGCTGTGTGAATTGTCATAGACTATTATTATTATCTTTACCATATTAATTTTCTTAATATTTTTACCATAATTATTAACAATTATTTTAATCTATACATATAAATAAAATTGGAGTGTCTGTTTGTAATATTGATATAACCGTTTTTTACTACATGCATATGAATATAATTACGATATATACACCAAAATGTCATTTTATACAATTTTTGTCTGTCTGTCTGTCTATCTGTTTGTTCCGGCTAATCGTTTTACAAGAAGGGACCGATTTTAAGGTTTTTTAAGGGTCGGCAATGTAATAAGTGACACCTCGTGTCTCAGAAAAATAAAGTTCAAAGGCTACGGTAATATTTTACCATCAGATGGGCCGTAAACTCTCTTTAACCTGTATTTTGACTGGTATAAAAAATAATTGTCTATCGAGGATGAAAATGTTCTCGTTCAAAATTCTCCAAAAACAAGGATTCTCGTGGTTGGCAGCTCTGGTAGGTAGCCATTTACATAAGATGGGCCGAACTACGCTTGTTTGCCACTCATCGTAGTATAAAAAATGGGGGTTTTTACGAGGATGAAAATGTTCTTCCAAAATTGTCCAAAAACAAGGATTCTCGTGGTTTTCAGGAGCTCTGGTAGGTAACCATTTACCATCAGATGGGCCGTACGCTTGTTTGCCACCATCGTGGTATAAAAAAAATAATTGTACAAGGATGAAAATGTTCTCCCGCGTCCAAAATTGTCCAAAAACAAGGATTCTCGTGGTTGGCAGCATGGGGTTTTCAGGTAGCCATTTACCATAAGATGGGCCGTACGTTGTTTGCCACCATCGTAGTATAAAAAAAATACTTGTACGAGGATGAAAATGTTCTCGTTCAAAATTCTCCAAAAACAAGGATTCTCGTGGTTGGCAGCTCTGGTAGGTAGCCATTTACCATAAGATGGGCCCTTATGCTTGTTTGCCACCATCGTAGTATAAAAAAAATAATTGTACGAGGATGAAAATGTTCTCGTCCAAAATTGTCCAAAAACAAGGATTCTCGTGGTTGGCAGCCCTGGTAGGTAGCCATCAGCATCTGAGTCAATGTTTGCTCGCCGCTCGAGTATCCAGTTTGTCGGGTAACTGAGATGCTGTTTAGTGAAATATTGTTTTGTATTGACTCCCAGTTATGAGATTTATTTTATTTATCCGTCATACTCGTGAACGAGTGCTGCTTGCACTGGTCTTCTCTAATCACTACGACTTATTTAGTTACTCAATCAGTTGATTATGTATTTCATATTTAAACTCTAATGAAATAGTGCTAGTTGGTAGTTTGTGTTCATTCAACATTCAACTTAAAATTTTTAAATATAACTAAATTATTTAAAAGAGCGACACGCAAGTTTTTTGCTCGTTCTTCTTGTGATAAGACAGCTTTTTTGTGTTAATTTTATAAAAATAAAATTATAACTAAATTATTTAAAAGAGCGACACGCAAGTTTTTTGCTCGTTCTTCTTGTGATAAGACAGCTTTTCGAATTTGTGTTAATTTTAACTTAAAAATGTAAAATTATAACTAAATTATTTAAAAGAGCGACACGCAAGTTTCTTACTCGTTCTTCTTGTGATGAGACAGCTTTTCGAATTTGTGTGCATTTTAACATAAAAATGTAAAATTATAACTAAATTATTTAAAAGAGCGACACACAAGTTTCTTGCTCGTTCTTCTTGTGATGAGTTTTCTTTGTGTTCATTTTAACGTTTTTAATTTAAAAGTTTTCTTGCTTTGTTGTTTTATGAGACAGTTTTCCGATTAAGCGATTGATTAAAAAATAAGTAATGACTATTCAATTGTGCTTAAATTGAAGTTTACTCTATTAATTTTCTAGTTTATTCTTCTATTCTATGAATTTCAAATGTAAGTTTACTTGAATAAATTTCCGTTCTGTTCTATGAAATTTTTTTTATTGTTTTTTTTAAATGTAACACAGGACCACAATAAATTTGTTTGGAGATCACTTTAATCAGAAGAAGTAAATCTTATAGAATTTTGTCCGAAAAAACGTATCCGTCACCCGATTTCATCTATTACGTCAGGTTTTTAAGATATCCTAACCTCAAATTGCCAAAATTTGTGGTCCTGTGTAATTGAAATGGTAACAAGCTGACCACTGGGTGGTAAGTGGTAGCTGTCATCTATATATTCACACATGACCAGCACTTCGAATAGTTATCAACACAATGCATTTTCAATGTTATCACTCGTTAATGACAAATGAAAAATATTTAAAATTTTGCCGTCAATTGTACGTGACTTCAAAGTTACATCGTCCATTCGATCCCGTTCTGTCCGAAACGCAAACTCTGAGTGGCCGGACTGTACGTCTGTATAGTCTCGTCTACTATAGAGGAAGCGCCCTCTGACGGCTCTATTGCAGCACTTTCATTGGATTTCATGCTACCCCACCAACGGAAAGTTGGGGCGCAAGTGCATTAAATAAATTGGATTACCAACGCCTGCCTCTAACTAAACACAAAAGGTCCGCGCCGTGTTGTATATAAGCATTATACGAAACATTACCTGTAATACTAACTAACTAGCTGTACGCGACTTCGTCCGCGTGGAATTTAACTTTATTTTCTAAAATAAGTTGCCTAAGATACTTGTTCGGGTTGTACCGAAACTATAAAGATTCTGATAGGTAAAACTGATAAATGATACTGATAGAAACTTGATTAAAACTGTATATTGAAACTTAAAATATAACTGATTAATGATTGTAATGAGTACGCGCGGTGTCCTTGATGACCGAATGCGAACTGATTTTAATGAAATGTGAAATGTAAAATAAAATGTTAATGTTGCGAAATAATGTACGATGCTAGCTCGTACAATACTCCTTATTACATTAGCTACCTGCCAATAAAAGTCCCGTCGAAATCGGTCCAGCCATTTCAGAAATTAGCTGGAACAAACAAACAGATAACTAATTGTAATACCTCGACCAGACAGTCTAATCACTCCTCTCCATCCTAAGGTTGCCTGAAAGGAACCGCTATTTAGCTATAAGGCCGCCCATTGTTACCTCTATATTATAATTATGTTGTTTTTCTTTTTATATTTGATACATATTAATTTATATAATTGTTATATCTTTCTGTGAGAGGAACAATAAAATGTTTTTCATTTTCATTTTTATTCAGACAGACAGACTGACAAAAATTGTAATCAAAAATATTTTGGTGTATGTACCGTATTTA